GACGCACTACTGGCTGGTCATCTGTAGCTCTTTTGTTCTAAAAAGGGGGGCAGGGAGACGCTGGCAACTGATATGGGCCTGCTATTGATGGAACCCACTATTTTGTTTAAAAATTCTTCCTTAGCTCAAAACAGTCTGCAGTTTCTGCTTGATTCCACCCAGTTATACTACTGTTCTCTACTATGCTCCAGGTATAAATATCTATGGTTGTTCTGTGCCAACACCCACGTGTGTCTCGTGGGTGCTACCCAGATATGCCACAAACTTCCGCTCCCAGCCCCATAGCCAGAAATTTTTGGCTCGTGGGGCAGGGGCCAGGACGCTGGGGCAGGGGAGCGGAACTTAATTAGATTACCCAATGGTGTGTGGGTTGGGGGTAGCGAAGGAAAGAGGGAGAGAGAAGGCATTTCCACAGCACCCCCTGCCACTTCTGGTCAGTTTCACTCCCCTCAGATCACCTGTTAGAAGTGGGAGGGCAGGTTCCCTTTCCTTCCTCAGCCTCCCCACCACTGCAGGGGGCTGGGGAAAGAAAGAAGAGAGAGAGAAGGCATGCATTCTCTCTCTCTCCCCTTCCCTAGCCCCCCCCCCACGGTGAGGGGGAGGCTGGGGAAGGGAAGCTGCCCTCCCGCTTCTGTTCTGTTCCCTTCCCATCAGCCCTTAAACCTAACAGCTGATAGGCTGGGAGTAAAACTGACCAGAAGCAGCAAAGCAGCTTCCCTTTCCTTCCCCAGCTTCCCCCACTACTGCAGGGGAGAGGTGCACCAGGGGTGGGGTCTGGCATCCTCCCGGGGTGGGGAAGGGCTGCTCCGTGGTTGGGCTCTGCCACCAAATGCCTCACCGTGGCTACAGACCTGGCCCCAAGTGCACCTTTGATGGAACTGCAAAAGACCCTAACAATACGGGGGGGGGGGGGGGGGGGGGCAAAGAAGCAGCCTCTCAAGAATGCTTATTTGAAATTAAGCACAGAGAAACTTCCTGGCAAATCAAGGGAAGGAGAAAATAACAGCTGCCAGAACATCTACTTTAGTAAGGACACAACTGCTATTTTGTCACATACACACTGTTCGGAAAGGTTTCCAGGCCACGTGTAGAAAGGAGAAAAGACTGTGGCCATGAGTCCTCTATGGGTTTGGGTTTTATTTCTGAAAAGAACAACAGGGGTCATGCATAGATATGTGGAAGGCTGAGGGGAGAGGAGGAGAACCTTCCACAGTCCCACATATACAAGAACTATCGCTCTACAGATATAGTTCAGATCAATATTTTTAAATTCTGTTTTCCTAATTTCCACTTCCCCCACTACCCTCCCGGTTACATTTGTCTGGTCTGTTTCATCTGTGAACTCTTTACGTAACACCGACATTTCTGTTTCTTTCACGAATACTGTCAGCTGCCTAAGTCCTCAGAGTATGGCAGGCTACACATACAAAAGAACTGCCATGCATAGAAGAATTCTGCCACCATCTTCTTTCTCTGAAAATATGTTAACATACATCTCTTCCCAAGGCTTGTATTTCTTCAGATGTGCGTCAAGTGATCCAGCCATAATATGACAGACATTGCCAAAGTTCCCCTATACACATTTTAGTTAATAATAATTCAATTAGTGTCTTATTGAAGCATGTCTACACAAACTCTTACATCCAACCAGATTTGTATGTCTTAATTAGAACCATCACAAATTTAAAAAACAACACTTTTCAATGTCATTGAAAGTGAGCATCAACCAAGACAGAAATACAAAGACAGAGAACAGTAAAATTTTGCTACTGCCCATACTAGGTATAGTCAGAACAGATATATCAAAAATTTAAGTAGGATCTTGGCATTTCTCTTACCTGGGTTATTCGTGGCTGGATGGTGCCATCAGAAAACACTGTGCTGTTCTGTGGCTGGCCCTCTAGCCAGGAGATCTTTAGAGGATTGTTTATCAGGCCAACTTCATTCTTTACTGCCATCTCCTACCAAATAAACACAGTGTACCATTGCAACCTCTTTTCCTTTCACTGATCCGTGCACTCCAATCAAGCTCCAGGAAACATAAAAATAGCTAAAAGCCAAGAAATTAAATTGTCGAGCTAGGTGAAACACAAAAACTTTTTACTTCGAAACTTTTGCAGGATTCTCCTTTCCAACCCCTGCCTGAAAAGCTTGATCATGATGACTGGACATTCATACAACAGGAGGGACAAAGATGCACCACACAGAGTTCTTACATCGCACAGGAGGCTTCTGCCACATCAGCTAAAGCATCAACATTTGCTATGTATTCTACATGCTGAATCAACCAGGGAAGACGCATTCTGGCTACTAACACGATCTGCTACAGAACATGAACCATTAAATTTTACCCCATTATTCTTGCCATAAAAATTCACTGCCATGATCACAACAGCCTGAATCCTATGGTCCATTTCTGACAATGGAAAGACACTTCTACTGTGGTGGTGGGAGGGCGGATTTCTGTTGATTTCTCTTCTCACTGCAGACCCTCCTTCTGGCCCCATATTTTCCAGGAGGCTCCCCTTACCCCAGGGGGTTTAGAGGGCTGCAGTGGAAGGAGAAGGCAGCAAACTCCTGCTTTACAAGCTATGCTCCACTTGCATAATCATGTAGGATCCAAGCTGTTACATTCCACAGCCAGCAAGCTAACCTAGCCTCTTTCCTACATATCAGTGGATATCTCCTACATTACCCCAACCACTTTGGTGCACCAAGAAAACTTTAGACAAAATACTTACAGCTGCTTTCACTGTGGCAAACTCCACGATTGCACTCCCAGTCTTCTTGCTTGAGATCACTAAATTCAGAACCTCACCATACTGCCAGAAACACAAAGGAAGTGATCATAAGTTAAATCACTCTACCAGAAGCCATTTAGGAACCTTTCTACAAGAATATTAGCTATGGGAAGTCACAATTCCGAATGGTGCCCTTCCTTACTAACAACCAGGAATGAGAAGATTTATAACAACTGTGGTGGGGGGCATATAATGTTGTGCAGAAATTTACATCAAACTTATTTGCTTAATCTTACAGTTTATTAGGCAAAATCAAAAAAACTGAAACAATGTGGGACAATACCTTCTGTAAGATTTGCAGGAGAACTTCTTTTGAATAGCCTCCTTTTGTCTCATCTTCTTTCTTGCACTTCCATCGTAGCTGGGGGGGGAGGAGGAGAGTTTACATTATTAGTTTTGCCCAGTCCAATACACCAGATCTAGTATCCAGGAGAATCTTTAAATTGATTTGACACCTATGTTATTATATCAAAGGCTACATATTCAGATGTCACTATACAAAATGATTCACAAAGTTACCTTGATGAATTATTAGGGACTGGTCTATACTACTCTATAGAGGTTGCTGTAAGTTGAATCCTACTATGTAACCCTGCATCATTTAACATGTCATGTTAACACTTCTGCTTTGCTTCAGTTCTGTTTTTTAGATTTCTGGTTCGTTCTACAACCCAAATCCTATTTCATTATTTACTGAATATCCCAACCTGTTGATTGTATTGACTCTTTGTAATCTGCCTTGAGTGGCAGTGAGAAAGGCAGACTATAAATAATGTAAATAAAATAAATATGTCATTTTTTAAAACACCGTGAAGGGGGTATCTGTGTGCAGATAAACAGATACAAGCCTAGGAAAGAATTTACATTTCAGAACATCTGAAAATTACTACATACATCAAGTACAATCTGCAACCTGTCAGTATCCCAAGTCACTGACACTTAACTTCTAATTACCTTCATCCTAGTGCCTAGATTCTAGATTAAAGTGCAAGGAACACATTAAGGTGAGGTAAGTGATAACTCCAGTAAGCAGCGAGGATGCCAGAGGCAGTCCAGCTTTCTGTGAGGCTGGAGGCGATTCACGTGGCTTCTACTGATGAAAGATAAAGTTATAGTTGGCTCATCTCTCTTCATAGCTCAAGTTTTTTGGAATGTCTTACTTTGAGCTTGGGGGTTCCTTTGCCCTCCACTCCATCTTGTTTGCCTCAAAAAAGAAGAAAACAAAAGGAAAACTTCAGTGTCAACTATTCCAAGGATAAACCACAACCTCCATTTTACAAAATTAAAACATTCAAGTAATTCAATGTTCTGGATCTCCACACTTTGATTTAATTCCACTGAACATTAATTAATCCTCAATACCCACCTCTTCTGAAAGGGGATACAAAGATTCCCCGTGTGACATCAACTGCCTGATGTTACAGGGGGAATCAAGGGAACAGCCTGGAAAAACTTTCCTTTTTATTGAATAAGTTAGGGGAATAATTTTCTGACTCTGAAACTTCACAGTAAGAGACACAAGAAAGGCAGAGTGATTTTTCTGCAGGGAAATACTGTGTAAGTATTTGTGCTCCTTTGAGCATCAGATAAGGCCACATTCCAATCCCAGACAGATGGGACAGAGATTCCTTCCTGGCTTTACCTTGTAATCGCTGCTCTCTCTCAAGTCGAATTTGCTCCTGGATGAGTTTTTGCTGCTCCTCCAGTTGGCGGGATCCCTCCTCACGTAGCCGCAGGATCTGGGAAGAGAGGGAGAAGGCAAAAAGGGTGGCTATGTTGGCCAAAAAATGACTATCCTTTTTCAGTGAAGACTATTTATAGCAAATAAGGGAAATGGTTGTAAAAGGTAAGTGACTCAACATTCTCTTTCGTCAGCAGTTAAATCCCTCTATGCTGCCTCTTCACATAGCCTGAAGCTCACAGAGCCCCAGCGTCTTTTATTACATATATCTTATCATTGGCTTTCTGCTCACCGACTGGGCTGTATACATAAATGTTTCCATACCCATTTTTACCATAATATAATATTGTACTTGGCATGCCAGTTTTACCTCTTCTTCTAATGTTCTGGTTATTTGGATCTCCTCCTCTTTGCTAACTTGGGTCTGGGCTTGTCTTTCTCGGGCTTCGAGGTCTGGGAAAAAAATTGGACAAACTCAGCAAAACCAAAACAGTCTGAATCTTTGCTAATTACAGAGGGCATTTCACAGAACCTGCTGCATGTAACTCTTACCATCTTAATTTATGGGGAGAAGGAATTTTTATGGGATTTATGGAAATTTTATAAGATTTATAAATCTCAATTTGTGGGGGCAAAAGGAATACCAGCAATTTGGTCTTTATTCCTCACACACTCTCATTACATACCAAGCTTGACTTTTTTTCTCCTTTCATCAAGTCTTTCAGTCCTTTCTGCTGCCTGTTTCTTGGCTTTTCTTACTTTATCATATGCTGCCTGTTGAAGTAACAATAGGAACAAGTAATAATACATGAGAAATGGTAAAATTAAGCAAGGGAAGTCTGCTAGCTGGCATTCAAAACCTGCACATGTTTAACAGCAAGAGGACACCGGCTTGCTTTTTCCTACCCCCAAGAATCTCAGACTTAGTATCTGGGGTGGGGGAAGGAAATGTAGTACAAGGAGACATTAGGGCTGCATCCTAAACTCATTTACAGTGGAATATGTTCCACTGAAGTGAGACTTACTGTCAGGTAAGCTTTTTTTCTGCCGGGGGGGGGATGCATTGTTTATTAGATAAGAAGCATAGCAATACTTTAGCAATACTTTGTATACTGAAAAATGAGGCGCATGATAAAAATGGTTTGACATACTTCACATTGGGGTCAATTGTGGATCAACCATAGGCAGCATGAGGGACTGATCTGAGAGATGGGGAATAACTAAGGTATCAACTAAATTACATTACTAAAATAAATTGATTGAACAGTTAACAACAGTTGTGTGGTTTTAATCGAGTATGACTTATGACTCAGATCCAAAGACTGGATGTACACATGCTCATAAGAGCTCTGGCTGATCCTTTTCCAGCAGCCATTCCCACTATAGAAGAGACTAGTTACTGAAAAATGTTCAATCTCCTTTGGGTTTCCAAGTGGAAAGAGTTTTTTGTGTTGTTTTTTTTCCAGTGAAGGATAATTTTTTTGAAGTCAAAGAAGTTTTACCTAAGGAAAACAATGAATGAAACACAAAACCAACAAGATCCAAAAACACAGAAATCTGTTTGATAACAAATCTTTCTGGTGCCAATTATTATTCCCTGTATCATCATTCTGCTGTTTGGTAATGATGCCTCTTAAATCTTTATCTATTCTTTTATAAAATCAGCTTCTGAAACTGTGAATGGTCTAGCATGCCCCTTTGATGACAAAGATCCCTCATCTGCGAGCACTCCCTGACCTGCGAGCACAGGTACGCAAATGGATTTTCTCTTGTTATAGCAAATAGGGAGGACCTGTAACTTCCTATATGGAAGTAATCAAATATTATAGGGGTGTGCTTTTTCACTGCGTGTCCAATACAATGGCTCTTGAAAGCGGTTCTTAAAAACCCGCTCTGACTGAAATATTGCCGGTAGCACAGCTCTCCTGCTACATGAGTGAGACACAGCCCCTCCCTATTCAGAACAGACTCTGATTCCAACAGAAAGAGAACATTTCAGTTGGCAACAACCTGTGAAACCGTTCTGGTCCACAACTTAGGAGCTGGAAGAAGGGCCTTATGTGCAATAGCAAAACCAGAAAATTCTTACTGTTGTGAAACAGAACAACTCACCCTTGCTGCTGCATCTGTTAGAACTGCCAACGCTTGAGACAACTGATGAAAGAGCTCGGCTGGGAAACAGAAAATGAAGTCGTTAAACACTACTGTGTAGGAAAGCTCATCTAATACCAGATTATGCAAATGAAACAGGAAACTCTGTTTGCTACTGGATTCTCCCTTTGGAAAAAGAATTTCATATAACTACTTTCTATGATGTCTTCCAGACAGCCTTATTGCTGCATTTTGGATGCCTTTGTTAATCAGAACATTTTAGAGCTTTCTCACAGCTGTTGTTTATCCCTTGCTGAGCCAGTTTTCTCCTGTGCCTTCCCCAGTGTTTCTGAAACCTCCTTTGTGTCAATGTTTTCCTCAGATACACATCAACAGTGGGTTTTTAGCTCTCTGAAAAGTCTACTGTTTCAACTGACTCAGCCCACCCTCTCCTGTCCAGGAGCAGTTACATCACTACCCCTCTGGAATGACTCCAGAAGAAGAGAAAGAAAGAGGTCCATCAGTGGCTATTAGCCACAAGGTATAGATAGGAACTCTCATTCTGGGGCAAGTGATGCACTGTATTCTTGGTGCTTGCAAGGGGGGGGGGAACACAGTGGGAGGGCTTCTAGTGTCCTGGCCCCACTGATGGACCTCTTGATGGCACCTGGTATTTTTGGCCACTGTGTGACAGGGTGTTGGACTGGATGGGCCATTAGTTGGCTTCTCTTATGTTCTTATGTTTTTAAGAAGTTGTTGAGCCAGTGAGGCAAACTGCCCCCCCATTATATGTCATTCCTAACCTCTAATCCAAAGGAAAGGTGGTATTTTTTTGACGTGCTGGGAAGACACAGCCCAGATACATAATATGGAAATTATATATTGAAAAAGTAAATCCATCAAAGTGCAACCTTTACAGAATACAATTAGGCAGTGGCAGGCATTGGGGGGGGGGGGGGATGAGGTTGTCACAACATAACAGCACCTGAATTGGAAACTGGCACCTCTGATGAGTGGGGATCAAGACATGCAGGCAAGCCAGGTTGCAGCCTTGGGAAGAAGGGGGTTTAAAGGTGGGGATGGAAATCAGCAAATATGGTTTGTCAGAGATTCTGGAAAAGGAAGCCCAACTGATAGAAATTCATTTGCATCTGTGAAGGATTTGAAAGAGGTCCGTTCTCCTTCCTCCAGACACGCAGAGCAACTTTGAGTCCTCCTTCCCAGGGCTCTGCGCCCAACCCTGTTCTTGGTCTCTTTTTCTTTCTTTCTCCCTCTCTTTGAGCACTGGCATCAGCCAAACTCATCATTACCCACAAAGTGAATGGAGAAGAATTCTGTACCTGCACACGAGTTATTTTTTTAAAATTGCATTCTAGTGAAATAGCACTACAGTGCACATATGCCTGCATATACACACAAATGCTCTGAGTCAAGGAAATGTGTATAGGAAAACAGCAAACACACACAGGGAAAGGGTGGAAGAAAACCTGTGTGGGTCCCCCATTTACAAGGAGCTACGTTGGGAGCTGGTTTGGCACCAAGGAAACCACAGACCAGTGTTACAGCCTGGAACATGTCTATAACATTGAAAGTCAATGTATCATCTGCTATAAGGAAAAGAATCAAACCACATAAAGGTGTATGCTACAACTTAAATATGCCTTAAAAGTGCAGTGCTTGAACCTTATTGCAACAAAAACTCTTAAAAGTAAACATAAGAACATAAGAAGAACCCTGATGTTTCAGACCAATGGTCCACCTCACACAGTGGCCAACCAGTTCCTCTGGAGAGCCAACAACAGGGCACAGAGGCCAAGGCCTTCCCCTGATGTTGCCTCCTGGCTATGGGATTCAGAGGTTTAGTGCCTCTGAATGCGGAGGTTCCCCTCAGTCACCATGGCTAGTAGCCATTGATAGACTTATCATCCACAAATCTATCTAATCCCCTTTAAAAGCTGTTTATTCCTGTGGCCATCACTACATCCTCTGGCAGTGAATTCCACATTTTAATCACTCCCTGTGTAAAGTAGTATTTCCTTTTCTCTGTCCTGCACCTACTGCCCATCAGCTTTACTAGATGCCCTTGAGTTCTAATATTTTGGGAGAGGGAGAAAAAATTATCTTTGTCAACATAAACCTCTATTATGTCCCCCCCCCCTTTGTTTTCTAAACTGAAAATTCCCAGACTCTTCAGCCTTTCCTCACAGGGAAGGTGCTCCAACCTCCTAATCATCTTGGTTGCCCTCCTCTGTACTTTTTCCAGCTCTGCCATGTCCTTCTGGAGATATGGTGACCAGAACTGTACACAGTATCCCAAATGAGGCCATACCATAGATCTATACAGGGGCATTACAACATTGACAGTTTTATTCTCAGTCCCTTTCCTAATAATCCCTAACACAGAGTTTGCCTTTTTCACCACTGCAGCACACTGGGTTGACACTTTCACTGAGCTATCCACTACAACCCCTCTCAACAAGCAGCTATTCCTTGAATAATTTATTTCACTATGTACAGATAAATCAATCATGGAGCAGATTGGCAACACACCCTTAGGTACTTTCTCAACTTCCTTGCAAAATGTTGTGAGTTTGCAATGAATTCTGGACTCTTGCACTCTTAAGGAAATTTGCTTATGCTAAAATAGTATACCAGTGCTCTCTTCCTTCACTTTTAGCCCTCCTCAAAATACAAATGACTTCTAGATCATAAATCAGAAATGGAAGCAAATTAAGGAGCTCTCTTGAGACCAGTTTATCTCACAAATAACCTCATGGAAATTGCCAAATGGGTTTCTGAAATGCGCTCTACAATGTATGTGTTTTCCTTTCTAATGCAGCTACCTATGAATAAATCCACAGAAACTGCTATGCTGTTCTAGATAAACCTATATACTCCTAGTGGCCCCACATGAGAAAAACAGGAAATGATATACAGTTTGTGGACTGCTCATACCTGCTTTGGGATTATCTGGATTTTTATCTGGGTGGCAAGTCAATGCCTTCTGTCTGTAGGCTTTCTTAATCTGTAGAAGACAGAACTGAGATTTAACAAAGTGAACAGCAGACTGAGGCAGCATTCAAAATAATGTACACGAGGAAATGTCAACAAAGGGATCAGAAAAGGTTTGAAAAACTTGTAAAATTGGCAACACAAATGGGAATATATGGCTAATACATCAGCATCTTCTAATCTATAACAGCAGCATTACAGTTTTGCCACAGCCAACTGCAATGAAGTTGGAACCAAAACACTTCTTAGATTTAAACATCTGAGGCCAAACAGAAATATTTAAGAAAAAAAAGTCTTCACTCCCAGATACAGGCAGCTATAGGAACCAGTCTTGGCAAAATACAGGTGGGCATGTTGTGACTGAGGGCATTTCACATGACATAAGTAAACAGGAAGGGTATGGAGAACGAACTGTGTCCCTAAACACTCAGTGAACAGATGCTAGGTGAGCTGGAGCTGGTCAGGGCTCTCTAGTGCATTTCCCCAACTGTTTTATTAAGAGAGACAACATTTGTAGCGGTTAATTGAACTAGGAACTGGGAAACCCAGATCTGAATCCCCACTCTGCCATGGAACTTTGGTGCATGACTTGGGCCCATCACATACTCTCAAACTGTTGTGATTGTGAGGATAAAACAGAGAAGGGGAGAATGTTGTAAGCCACTGTGGGTCCCCCCTGCAGAGGAAGGCTGGGTAAAAATGAAATAAGCAGACAAAACTGGCCTGCTTTTCATGCTGTAGAAGATTGCAGCAGGACACACTAGTGCACCCAGGCATGATGCAGCATCACATCCTTGACTGCTCAAAACATAGTAATTTAGGGAGATGACATTTTACTTGGCAAAGTTAACACTTTGGCAGCTACTGTATAATACCCACAAACCAAAGAGGAACAGGAATTGAAAGGCATTAAAATGTAGTCAGACCCTGCACAATTTCATGTAGGTTTGGAACATGAATGATAGTTCTTCATCAGGGATTTCTGCTAATTTCATGTTTGGAAAGACCAAGAGTCCTTCTAATCTAGCATCCAGTTTCCAAAAGTGGCTAGTCAGATGTCCCTAATCAAGGCATGAAGTCAAAAGTCCTTCCCCACTATATGTCCCCAGCTTCTGGTAGAGTTATTTTGACCCTGACCAGAGTACCCTTTTAGTAAGTTATCCAGGAGGACAGTCAGTTAATTTATCTAATTTTTCTTTAAAGTTACCGAGTTGCATTGGCCAGCAGTACCAGTACTGAATATTTTGCCTGAAATATTACTTTATTTTGTCTATTATGAATGTACCCAGGGCCGGCTCGCTCACTAGGCGAACTAGACTTTCGCCTAGAGCGTGAGGCCATCACGGGGGCACCAGGCGGGGAAGCCAGGCACACAGCAAAGCCTCTTCCCCAGGCCAGAGTTGCTCAGCAACCCGGTGCCGCCGCAGCCGCCCCATGCATCGCCACCCTCCTCCAGCGTCGCCGCCGGCGCAGCTTGAGGAGGAGAAAGAAGAGGTGCCCCTTAGGAGGCCAGGGGCGGGAGGCGCAGCCCCACTATGCTTTTGGCGCCTTCCTGCCGTTTCTTTCTCAGCTGCTGCTGCTGCTGCCTGGCCCAGCTCGAGCTCCCGCGGCCTCTAGCTCCATTTCCACGCTGCCTCTCAGGCAGCTCCCCTGCCCTGCACAAACTACCGCTGGGTAGCGAGAGAGGTGGGAAGGGAAGGAGGGATGAGTTTGCCTGAGTTTAACAATATCAGAGAGGGGGAAAAATCTACCAATTCTCTTCAAACCATATATAGTTTAACAAGTGTCAATACACATCTTTACCATACATAAATTTACAAGTATCCATGATTATTTGGGTTTTCCTTTCCTTCTCTGCCAGCTTTAAGAAATCCATTTTGGTTGCATGACAGATTTCTCTAAAAGCACCACATCATTGGATATTTTATTCTCAAACAGATTCCCAACTCTGAGTTTGCCTTTTTCATTGCCAAAGCACACTGACATGACATTTTAAGTTACCACACCCCCAAGAAATCGCAGCCATTTCTGATTGCATCAGCGTCTACGCAATGACAGGATGTTTTGCCACAATGTGCATTACTACTGTGGATCATTCATAAATAGGCTAAATATAATTGATTCCATGAAAGATCCTTCAGGGAATCCACAACTTAGTTTCTCTATTGTACAGACTGTCCATTCACCCTCTACTGCTCTGTGGTGGGGGTGGAAAGTGCCATCAAGTTGCAGCTTTGTGGAGACCCCACAGAGTTTTCAAAGCAAGAGATATTCAGAGGTGGTTTGCCATTGCCTCCCTCTGCGTAGCGACCATGGTCTTCCTTGGTGGTCTCCCATCCAAATACTAACTAGGGGCAACCCTGCTCCATTTCTGAGATCGCGCTAGCCATCCAAGTCAGGGTTCTACCGCTCTACTTGTCCTCTTGCCCTATCAATGTAAACCTTTGGAGAGAGACTTGTCAAAAGCTTTCTAGAAGTCCAAGTATATTATGCCTATTGGACCTCCTCTAGTTATACGCTTGTTGAAAATGCCAAATTTAACTAAATGCCACATCGGGAAATCAGGAAAGACACGCTCCCTTTATCTGAATCACTCTGTATTTCATTTTATCATATATTATGGGGACAAAGCTCACCTGCTTCAGCCACCTGAATGTTCTAATAAACTGGATTCCACTTCCTGAAGGAATTCTGGAATTATGCTACTGTTATCCTTTCTGTCCTCAAAGATTTTGAACCACATTGGGTGATGTTCCTCCCTTTTCTACCCCATAGAAGTCCATGCAGCCAAGTCCAGGGAATCTGGAATGCAGATACTGCAGTGGTTCACCTATCACCAGTGCTTTTTTCCCAGCTGGACAATTGTAGGCATCAGCTCAGATCATTTTAGGGGCAGAAAAAATCATGCCAGCACCAAGCAAAACATTTACAATTAGATCCTAATTCAATAGACCCCAGAAGTTTTAATTTTGTCTAGCTTTAGAGAACCATTTCCATATCAGCTTGTCTGCTGATGAGCCTCTGCATGTTTCAGAGAAGAATTCTGAGAAATGTTCAAGGTACCTGACTCCGGCTGTCCACTCATAATGGTCCTCTAGTTGAGGAATGCCAGAATGCCCTGATGCACGGCTCAGAAACCACTGTGCCACCCTGCTACAGATGTACAATCTTTCCTCTGAAACTCTTGCTGGTCTCTAAGGTGCTACTGGATTCAAATCTAACTGTACTACTGCAGACCAGCATGGTTACCCTCCAAAACTATTCCCTTTTCATGCTGATGGACCCAACGACTTCACGTTCCTTCCAGATCTACAAGGCAACGAGTCTATATCAAAGGACTAAAAATTATATATTTAAGAGATCTGTATATCTAAAATACTTTAAGAAAAATAATAAACATGAAGTCATGAGTTCATTTTCTGTTGTATATAAGAAAACAAAGATTTATTCTGAGATGGGAAGTTAAATATTTTGCTAATACGTTGGCTGGAAACACGTGGCATTTGCACACCATCTAGTGGGCAAAAGGGAATAGCAAACACTTAATTTGCAAACCTATTTAAGTCAGTGCTTTTAGCAAGTACAGTACCGTCTAGAGCTATTTGATTAAAGTGTTTCATGTACATGTTTCAATAGTCCTTACAACACGCTTTCAAACACACATTTGCCTCATTATTGTGACAAGTAAAAGTTTCCTCATCCTAACAAAGCAGGGAATCTCTACAAAAGAGTTCCTTATTACAGTCCGAAAAAAGCTACTATCCTACCATTATTTTTACTTAAAAGGCAATCTTACAACAATAACCACCCACACAAAGTAGGGCAGCAATTAGCTCCATATCACAGGAAGAGCTCAGAACATGAGAATTTATCTTTGATGGGAAGAATTTCAGTGGTCAAAATGAACGTACTACCATGGTTGATGTTTTTATTTCAAACTATCCCAATAATGGATAAGATAGAGATTTTGAACAAATGGCAAAAAGAGATCTCAAAATTTGTTTGGGCAGGCAGAAAACCTAGAATTAAAATGAAAATTTTGTGTGATGCTAAAGAGAGAGGAGGTTTGCAGCTACCAAACCTGCGATTATACTATGAAGCAGTTTGCCTTACATGGCTGGAGCAGTGGGTGAGACTAGACAACAAAAAACTGCTAGTATTGGAAGGACACGATTGCAGATTTGGATGGCATGCATACCTATGGTATGAAAAGACTAAAATGGACAGTTTTTTAAGCATTATCTTGTGAGAAAGGCGTTGTTTGCAACGTGGATGAGATACAAAAGATTTTTTTACGAAGCAAGACCACTTTGGATTGTACCAGCGGAAGTATTGACACCATATTCTAGACAAAAAGGTGAAGAATGGTTGCCTTATAGAGACTTAATAAAAAAAGAGGGAACAGAATGGGTAATGAAAAAACAAGATGAGATACATTACAGATATGTCTGGTTGAGCTACTTGCAGATTTATGACGTATTCAAAGCAGACAAGAGAAAGTATGGCCTCAGAGAGGAGAAAAATGAAATTGAAACTGTATGGGAAAGTGGAGGGAAAAAAATGATTTCATGTGTTTATAAAATTTTGTTAAAATGGTATACAGAGGATGAAACGGTAAAAGAACAAATGCTTAAATGGGCCATTAATATGAATAAGGAGATAACAATTGATTCATGGGAATATCTGTGGAAAAACTCTATTAAAATATCGACATGTACTAATGTTAGAGAGAATTGTTATAAAATGATGTACAGGTGGTACATGACACCCAAAAAGATAGCAAATATGAATCAAAATATGTCAAGTAAATGTTGGAAATGTAAAAAACATGAAGGGTCATTTTATCATATGTGGTGGACTTGTGAAAAAGCTATGGACTTTAGGACTAAAGTACATAGCGAAATGCAAAAATTTTTGAAAT